CCCGCAGCCGTTTCACCAGCAGAAGGCGGTGGGAAACTCCAAAAGGCACAACACGGGGAGGGGAAAAAAAAAATTAGGAATATTCGACGCCGAATTGAAACCTGACGACTCGGCCCATCTAAACGACATCCAAAAAAAAAATTAAAAAAAAAATATCTGTTTTCGCCCTCCCATGGAACCCCGACGGCACTTTCCCGACGTCACCTCAAAAGCCGCGGCTCCAGTGGGATTCCCAAGGTGGTTTCTGGAAGAGGGGGAGGGAGGGCTCTCGGCAAACGCCTCCAAGTGCTGATATTCCGCTTTTTTTTTCCTCCGTGCTGCTCATCTTTTTGCTTTTTTTCCCCCCTTTTTTTTTCCGAAAGCGTAGGGGTCTGGAGCTCGTGCGCCCGATGCCGGTGGTCTGGGGCGTTCCGGCGCTAAGGGCATCCGAGCCGCGGGTTAGTGCAAATCCGTCGGACGGCGGAAAATTTAAGGAGAAACCCCCCCCCGCAAAAAAAAAATCCTTCGTGGATTGGATGGTTTTTTTTTTTTCCTCTATTAAAACCCAGAAGGGGCAAAAAAGAGCGGAGAGTTGGGAGTTTCGAGCAACGGGTCAGCCCCGTCTCCCATCCTTCTCCCTTCTCAAAAGACTTCCGACGGGCCAAGAAAAAAAAAAAAAAAATCGATTTAGGATATTTAAAAAAAAAATCAAAATAAAATTAAAATAAAATTTTCTATCGTTCATTCACTCACACTACGTGGAGCGTCTCGGTGGCTTTCGGCGTTTCGGAAAGCGGGATGGGTACGGACCACGGGGCGCGTGGGGACGCCCTGCTTTTGTCTCCCGCCGCTAAGAAAAGCCCTGGGAGAGCGAAGCGGCTCCCGGCCGGGCACCGAGCGAGAGGTTGGAGGGAAGAAAGGGGGCGGGAAGGACCTTCCACCGCCTCAAGGGGAGAAGAAACGTCTCTTTTAGCGGACCTCTACGTATCAAAGTTTTCAGAACATCTATAAAACCAGAAAGTCGTAAGAATGTTATCCTCCAGTACAATAGAAAAACGAATAAATACTATTTATAGCTCGCGCGTTGTCCGTACGTTCCCGTGTGCTCTCGGGTCGGGGCGGCGCAAAGCGCTCTGGCGCTTCCTCGACGTCTTCGGGTTCGTCTCCCCAAGGCGGCGATGATGGAAATCCTTCACGAGCCCCTTTGAGTGTCCGAAAAGATCCCCACTGGCCGGAGAAGCGCTTCGGATGCGCCGGTGAAGAGCCGCGGGGGTCCCCCGGGGGCGCCGAGGGCCGGAGGTGACCCCGTTCCCCTGTCACCGCCGGGTTATTGCTAAACTGTCACGCGCTGGATGCGAACGGGGCCGGGTATCGCTTCTGTAAAACAAATGAGGCATCATCTTTTGTTGGGGTTTGTTTTTTGTTTTTGTTTTTTTTTGTGCTAAAGGGATGGAGATAATCCTTATTCATCTCTCCGAGGTAGAAAAAAATTTGTCCCAGAGACAAGAAGCGTGAAAAAAAAATAATAAAATTTGAAGGAGCGCTCGCCTCCGTGAGCGATGTGCAGCCGCGAAGCGGGAGGTGGGACGTCGCACGGGATGGGGACGGGGACGAGGACGGGCTGGTTTTAGGTAGGACAGAAAACTTCCCAGATTGAAGGCGGCTGACGCCGGGCTCTGCGAGAGGGGGGACGGCGAGTGCTGAGCCCCACAGCATCCTCCCCGAGCGGCGTTCCCCGCGCCGGTACGGCTCCGGCTGCGGGACGG